GTATACTTAAACGCAGTCTGTATATGCAGAATTTTGTCGATTACTGGAGCCCTCAGTGTTGCTTACTACACTGTTGCCACTCATCAATGCCTTTTCATAAACTTACCCTTTCAACTAAAATTTTTCGTGCTATAATAGATTTTAGCTAAATATAAACTACTTAGTTTTCAACAAAAACCTTATTCAATAGTAAATTTCAAATATTTTAAACATATTTTGAATAGGAACTTATAACTTTTTTACCATCTGTAAAACTGACGAAGTGGCAACCATCTAAAGAAGGAGAAATCAGCTGACACGGAAAAATCTAAATTCCGCAGATTTCTGCGCTACGGGCTACAACTACAGAAAAATTCTGCCGTGTTGAGTTTTCATTTACATGGCGCTTTGGTAAGACAGATCGTGTGAGCTGACTTGGGTTTACGTACCGGTAGGTTTACGTTCTTGACTAATTTCAGCATAAGACTTAAGCTGAAATTAGTCGAGAACGCAGAACGTATACTTAAACGCAGTCTGTATACGCAGAATTTTGTCGATTACTGGAGCCCTCAGTGTGGCTTACTACACTGTTGCCACTCATCAATGCCTTTTCATAAACTTACCCTTTCAACTGCAATTTTTCGTGCTATAATAGATTTTAGCTAAATATAAACTACTTAGTTTTCAACAAAAACCTTATTCAATAGTAAATTTCAAATATTTTAAACATATTTTGAGTAGGAACTTATATTTTTTTAACCATCTGTAAAACTAACGAAGTGGCAACCATCTAAAGAAGACGAAATCAGCTGACACGGAAAAATATAAATTCCGCAGATTTCTGCGCTACGGGCTACAACTACAGAATAATTCTGCGGTGTTGAGTTTTCATTTACATGGCGCTTTGGTAAGATAGATCGTGTCAGCTGACTCGGGTTTACGTACCGGTAGGTTTACGTTCTTGACTAATTTCAGCTTTAATGAGTTTAAGGGAATTATTGCTAAAAATGTGTAAATTTCTGTATTAAATTGATGATGTAAACATTTATTAACTTTATTTTAAACTCAGAAAAAGTGCCAGTTTAAATAAATTTCCTATTAAAGGTGTCGTGAGATTATCGTATAAGTTCATGGTATAATTATAATAGTGGTATTCATCTAAACCGATAACTTTATCAAGCAGATAATCT